GTGCTGCTAATTTGCTGCATTTAACAGACACTTAATTGTTGCCATCTTCAACGGTTCCCTCTATCCACTAACTTTACCTTACAAGGGGTTTCTTGAATCACAAATTCAGTTATTTCCCATCTTGACAAACCATATCTTACATACTATTTTAAATATACCTAAATATACCTAATTTGTCCTTGTTAAAGTTATTTCATGCTCTTCCCACTATTTATACATAATCTGTTACAGGTAGCCATCATACCATAGCCTTCATTTTACTAAACCTATTGAGCTTTCTCTCTTTTGTTCTGACACACTGTCTATGCTTTGATCCCTCAGCTGCCCTGCTCACTTAAAAACTTAATTTGTCTTTTTTAAACTTGACTTGGTAAAGACCATGACCATATCAGTATATAAATGAGTGAATACAAAACTATATTAATAACTTTCCTGTTATAAATTCCTTATTTGCCTCTTGGTGTCTGTCATGCAGTGTGATTGAGCACCTCAGTCTCTTTCCCCTGCTGTCATCTGCTGCTGAAGTCCAGTTTGCCAAGAGAATTAATTATTCATATACATGCATGACCTGGCATTATGGCACAAATTAATCAAACATATTTCTCCTGGTTTGGATTACTCTCAGTAGTGGTGATAGCTCAGAGTTTCCTCAGCAGATATCATTAGCTTATTCCTATCTTTTGTGTCCTACTCAGTTAATAAAAATCTTGGAATTGATCCTAGACCAACTTAACAGAATTCTACAATTGCCTTTTCAACACAGCCTTGGTTCTTTCTTACATGATTTTTATCCTTGCTCATGTTAATTCCTGTCTTTCATAGTTCAACTCATTATGGGTTCTTGTTAAGCTTTCTGTGGATGTCCAAGAGGTTTACAATGAATTCCTCCTTTAGAATGTATATTGTGTCAAATGGACCTAGTGATAGATCTTTGATAAAGCATGTTTGGTTGTAAGCCTTGGAAAGTGGGGATAAGATGAACTGTTCTGTATTGTTGAGAATAATAATCTTTTTATTTTGCTATCTGCAATTTGATATTTTAAAAAAATCCTTGCTGCCATTCAGAATTAGTTTCATTTGGTGATTACTTCTGTATACTGGGATGAAGGTCACCAAGTTTGCCTTACTAGTTGAGTCATTCAAGCTCCCCAGCACAATACTTAAATCTGCTGCAAGTCCTGTTTTGGTGTGTGACTTTGTGAACCCTGGGACGTATGCCATCTAAATCTGCAATGCATAGCTTTAATACTAAGGATTAAAAAGCTGATGGTGAGAAACATTGGACATGCTCCTATTTTAAGCAGTCTAGCAGGACCACCTCCTGTTCTCCTGTGCTTTGAGGAAGAGTAAAGAAAGCTTCTACTTTTTTATGATAAACATGTTAGCAGTTAAAAGATTCTGACTAGCACAAGACAATTTATGAAAGCTCCACCTGTGATATTATGTGCCAGTTACTTGAGATTATTCAAAATAATTTCCTACTTCTTTATGATAAACATGTTAGCAGTTCAGAGACTGTTGAAATGCAAGCAATTTTTTTCCTGTAACCGGGTGCAGCACTTGAGCTCTGGATGAAACAACTGCCACTCTTCTAGTTTTACTAGTTTAATGTTGTGCTTCCACACAACAGACCGAGAAAACCTGGTGGCAACTCAGCTGAAAAAAAAGTTGCATGAAATGCTGGTGTTTGGACTGCTGTGGGTGGAGCCCTGGTATGACTCAGTGGGTAGTGACTCTCACTTGAACAGCTGAGCTTTCACAGCTCTTCCTGAAGTGAGCTGAACT